ATGAAGTCCGCTCTCGTACATCGCTAACAAGCAGCGGCGACGCCTCTGAAAATCCTGCCTCCGGTTCGGCTGAATGATGAAGTCAGAGACCAGGACGGATCGCACACGTCAGCAGAACCCGTTTCCTGTTCTGGGTCTCTGCTGTTGTTGTTGTTGTGCGTCTCTTTGTGTCCATTATGTGTCTGTCTGTTGTCATCCAGCTACATTTTGGTAATATTTTGTGTCTCTTTGTTGTATTGTTGTGTCATTGTGGTCATTTTGTGTCTCCTTGGGGTCATTGTTTGTGTGTTTGTGGTGATTCTGCATCTTTTAGTTGGATTTCTGTGTCTCTTTCTGGTCATTTTGCACGTCACTGATAGCATTTTGCATCTTTTGTGGTCATTCAGCACTATTTTGTTGGTATTTTGTGTATTTTTGTGTCTGTTTATGGTCATGTTATGTGTCATTGTGGCCATTTTGTGTGTCATTGTGGGCAATTTGCATCTTTTTGTGATCATTTTGTGTCTCCTTGGAGTCACTGTTTGTCTGTTTGTGGTCACTCTGCATTATTTTGTTTGTATTTTTGCGTCTTTGTGGTCATTTTGCTTCTGTTTACGGTCATTTAGCATCATTTTGTTGTTATTTTGTGTCTCTTTGTTGTATTTTGTTTCTCCTTGGGGTCATTTTGTGTCTCTGTTGTCGTTGTGCGTTTCTTTGTGGCCACTTTATGTCACATTGTGGTCATTTTGAGTGTCTTTGTGGCTGTTTTTTTGTTATTTTGGGTCTTCCTTGTGTCTCTTTGTGATCATTTTGCATCTTTTTGTGTTTCCCTGCAGTCATTTTGCGTCTCTGTTGTCGTTGTGTCTGTCTTTGTGGCGTTGCGTTACCTCCAGCAGGGTTTTTTTTCCTTTTCTCTGCCTCCAGCAGCGGTTCATGTGGAGGTTACTTCTCTTCTACTTCCTCTCCTGCACCTCGATGTCAAAGTGAACATCGGCCGACTTGCATTTCGTCCGAGCGCCGGCGTCCACGTACGGTCTCGGTAATCGCTCCCCTCCGACAGCGACGCGACACGAAACGCGCACAAAGGAAACACGAGGACGGCGGCACAGAGGCAATAATGGGAGGCCTAATAGCAACAGCTCCGCCACATCTGGCACACCGGAGGCTATCGAGGTGAATAATTTAGTGTTGTGAAGAAGCACAGACATGGCCTTGAATGCAGAAGCAGCGCTACACACTGCTGTACCTGCCGCACAACATCACGAGTCGCAGCCACAGATTTACAGTTTCCCTGCAAGAAAACGCGAGAGGCTTCGGTTCTCTACACCCCAGGAAACATCACCGGGGCGTCCATGTTTGTCTTCCTGTGTTTAAAATGCTCAGGTTGTCTTGGTTTCGCTTTTTGGTGACTTTTCTTTGGTAGTTTGGGGCCAATACTTGTGATTCTTTGTGGTTATTTTGTGTGTCTTTGTGGTCGGTTTTCATCTCTTTGTGGTGGTTTTACGTCTCTGTTGTTGTTTATCATCTGTGTGGTCACTTTGTGTCTTTTTGTTGCAATTTTGAGTCACTTTGTAGCAATTTTGTGTCTCTTTTTGGTAATTTTGTGTCTCTTTGTGGCTATTTAATGCCTCTACTGTCATTTTGTATTTTTTTCTTGTCTTTTTGTATCATGTTGTTGTCATTTTGTATCTTATTATTGTCTTTTTGTATCTCCATGTAGCCGTTTTGCAACTTTTTACAGTCGTTTTGTGTCTCAGTTGTCGTTTTGTGTCTCTTTGAGTCCAATTTTGTCTCTTTTTGTTATTTTAAATAGCCTTTTTGTCATTTTGTGTCCCTCTGTTTACATTTTTTGTCTCTTTGTGGTTGTTTTGTGACTTTTTATAGTCCGTTTTTATGTCTTTGTGGTCATTTTGTGTTTCTGTTTTCATTATGTGTCTCTTTGTGGTCCTTCTTTTCTTTCTTTGTGGCATTTTCTGCCGATTTCTTGTCATTTTGTGTCGCTTTGTGGCCGTTTTGCTTCATTTTGTGGTTGTTTTTAATATTTATGTTGCTGTTTATTGTCTCCTTTTGGTTATTTTGTTTCTCTTTGTAGTCATTTTTTGTCTGTTTGTGGGTATTTAATGCCCGTTTCCTGTCATTTTGCTCCTCTTTGTCCACATTTTGTGTCTTTTTGTGTATCTCGTAATCGTTTTGCTTTCCTTTTCTAGTCATTGTCTAACTCCGTCCACGGTTTTCAGTCTCTTTCGGGTTTGTTTTTGCCACCTAATAAAAGCAGACGCTCTGTGGAGTCGAGCCTCCACCACACCGCCATCAGCAGCTGTAAACCTCCACAGTCAGGACAAACAACTTCAGCACACACACTGGAGTTTAATACTGTCACAGCTCCGATGCTTTATCTCAGATGGATCTCACACTAGCACACAAACAGACTCACACTGCTATCACAGCAAAACCCCGTCCGATCCTCCAGTGGGCTCCAGCAGCACTGATACCAGAGAAAAGTAATTCCCAGGAGAAACTTTCTGGAAACCGTGAGCTGTTCCTGCAGAAACATAATTCAACACCAGAGTCTGAATGTCTGCCAGCGTCAGAGAAGAAGAAGAGACGACCACCAGCGTTTTAAAACTACAGCTCGTATACCCAGGGATTCACTCCATTTGTGTGTCTTTGTGGACATTTTGTGGTCATTTCATGCTCATTTTGTGTCTTTTTGTAGTTAGTTTTCATTTATTTTTTACATTTTGCATCATTTTGTTGACATTTTGTGTCTCTTTCTTAGCAATTTGCATGTATTATCTGTCATTTTGAATCTTTTTGTGGTCCCTTTACGTTCCGGTCATTGTTTTGTGTGTCCTTGGGGTAATTTTGCATCATGTTGTTGACAATTTGTGTCTCTTTGTGAGCATTTTGCACCTATTTGTTGTCAAATGGCCTCTCTTTATGGTCATTTTTCATGTCTTTGTTGTCATTTTGTGTTTCCTTGTGCTCAATTTGCATCATTTTGTTGACATTTTGTGACTCTTTGTTGTCACTTTGCGTCTTTTTGTTGTTATTTTGCATCTATTTGTTGTAAACTGCCTCTCTCTGCGGCCATTTTCATGTCTTTGTTGTCATTTTGTGTCTCTTTGTGGTTGTTTTACTTTTTTTTCCTCGTCAGCGTCTACTTTATCTACATCAATCAGTTTCTGTGTGGTTTGTGTTTGCACCACGTCAGACCACAACAACTTTCTGGAGCTGTTCCTGTAGAAACCGAACCGGATGATAAGACGGCCACGCTCTCTGATAGCTGGGTCCGTGAGCCACACAGGAACTGGCCTTTCACACACTGGACGGATAATGACTGCAGCCAGTGTAAATGACTGTAAGCTCGGCTCCATTCCTTCACATTTGCTGCAGCACCCCTCCTGCTTTACTGAGGTCCATCTGGCCGGATCACACCGCCTAATAAATTTGTAAACCTCTCACACCATCAGATAATCTTCTGTGCTATCAGTCCTGACCGAGCCTCCAATTAGCTTCAGCGGGGAAGAGCCAAATCTGGTGTAAACTGGCCCGCTAATCCTCCAGCGAGTCCCAGCCTGAGTCAGACAGAAACACATCAGCAGCCGGGCGGCGGGGCGGCAGGGCTTATTAATACAGTCAGATGCAAATTCTCCAAACCTCGCCCAGAAAAGAACAAGCGAAGGGGATGTTTGCAGTGTTATTCTGCAAGGCTGCAGTTATCAGAACACGAGATCGGATGTAATTAATGACTGCAGGATGGATCGCTGCAGTCGCCGCGCTGACACCTGCATGCATATTCATGCAGACGGTAACTGTGCATCTGATTTCAACACATCTGACGCTGTTTTTCATTCCGCGCTCACCCAAAAATAGGCCGAGCTCCTCCATCCGCGGCCGGATCAACCTGTGAACGGGCCCCCCGGGCGACGTACGGGCCCAACATACAACCGCCAGTAATCCCACCTCGCCTTGATCGTCCAGGATGCCTCGACTCAAGCTGCAGCGAGCCAAAGAAAATCTTGGATCCTGAAGTAATTGGATGGATTTTCCCCCCAAAGAAAGTCCTGAAGTGACATTTACTTTACATTCAACGGTGAGAACGCTTCGCTTTTAGCAAAACTTGTTGCTCTTTCGGTTCAGTTTACAGGAACGTGCAGGATTTGTCCTTCATCTGTGAGACGCAGGTGCAGCACGAACGCCACATGAACAAAACCGAACTGGTCACAGAGAAAAATAAAAGTCTGTATGGTGCTTGTAGATGAACTAAACGTCTGCAAAGAGACAATAAACTACTACAAAGGATACAAAACAACTATAAAGATGCACAAAATGACCACAAGAAGACACGCAAACACCATAAAGAGATGCAAAACAACCACAAAGAGACTAAAAACTACCACAGAGCGATGCATAGTGACGACAAAGAGACACAAATCGACCACAAACAATCCCAAAATGACCACCAAGAGACACAAAAGCACCCCAAATAGATTCAAAATGACCACGTTATTATAAAAAAAATAGCCCAAACAATGACAAAAAGACATAAAAATCAACCACAGAAAGAATGAAAGATGAACTAAATGTCGACTACTTCCCCTACCGTCTAATTATCCTGAATGAATTCTGGTTATTTTGCACTGAAACGATAAGAGCAGCTGCACATATTCGTATGAGTTCTGAACCCAGAACTACATCAGCTGGTGATTCGAGCAAAAAAAAAAAAAACTATTGCAGAGCATGACATGGACAAGCTGGTTAGTTAGGAGTCGACTCCAGACTAACTTTGCTGCTTCGTTGTCGTCCTGCGTTTGGATTTGTGCCTCAGAAACATTGAGAAAAGCACAATTAAGAATAATCTCGGCACCATCGCAGTCCAAAAAAAACAACCAGCACTCGTCACACCACAAACCTTCACAACTGAAACACAAGCCGTCACGTTTCGCCTTCGATGCAACCACATTTTCAGCGCTGTTCAAACTGCAGATTAACTATATTTTGACTTATTGAAGACTCACGTTGAGCTGCAGCGTCTCCGTCCACTGTCCAATCACGCGGTATCCCGGCCCGGTGGCGTTGTTCCACTGGTACTGAAACAGATCGTAGCGTCCGGGAGCGTCGCCGTTGCGGTTGAACGTCACTGAAGTACCGGCGCTTCCTGTGGAGGAGGACACATATTGGATCAATAGATACATTAATGAATCCATACTTGTGAAGGACTATATGTTCATTTGTTAAACAGGAAATAGAAAAACACCATCTGGAGCAGGTTTACATCCAAATGTAGCCCACCTTTAACTGAGCTGCTGGAAAACCGTTAGACGAAAACGTCAACAGATGCTTGCGTCCCAACACAGCTAAAGTTATAGAAAGACGTCTAACACTGCTGAATTTAAAGGATAATGGCTAACACTGACGCTAAAGTCTTGAAAAGATGGCTAACTAAAAGTTAAAGTCATAGAAAGACATCTAACCCCAGGATAAAGTTATAGAAAGATGGCTAACTATACAGCTAAGTCAAAGAAAGACGGCTAAAGTTGTAGAAGGGTTGGCTAACACTGCTATTGCAAGTCATTAAAAGATTGCTAACTAAACACCTAGAGTCAATAAAAGAGCTAACTACAAGCTAAAGTCACACAAAAACAGCTAAAGTCATGGAGAGCGCTAACTACACGCCAAAATCATAGGGAGAGAGCTAACTATGGAAGTAATAGAGGTAGCTAACTCCACTGCTAAAGTCATAAAAAGATGGCTAACACTGCGAAGGTCACAGAATGACAGCTAACTATGCAGCTAAAGTCATTTAAAGATCGCTAACGACACAGCTGGAGTCAATTAAAGAGCTAACGAGACAGCTATTTACACAATTAACATCACAGAAAGAGCTAAATACAAGCTAAAAGCATAGAGAGAGCGCTAACTACGTAATGAAACTAATAGAGGCAGCTAACTACACAGCTAAAGTCATAAAAAGATGGCTACCTGAAAGTTAAATTCATGTTATTATATTAAAGTCATGTTAATGTGTGTATTTTATTTCTCCTTGTGCCAATTTTGTGTTTGTAAAGGATATTTGATTAAATAAGTTACATGTAAAAAGTCAAACTAAGAGAAAATTAGCTGCTTCGATAACCACAGCTAGCATTAGCTAAAAGTGAAGCCACATTTAGTTACTGATTCTGATCTTTTAATTAAAAATATCAGTTTTAATGACATTTCGGCTCTTCAGTTTGTTATTCTACATATTTAAATAAAGGAATTACTGGTTGTTATTACTGGTTGTTATTACTGGTTGTCGTACGACGTCAGCTGTCTGTTTTGCGGCTACAGTCGTGCGTCGTAATATTTCCTGTCTGCTAAAACAGACGTTAGCGAGCCGGACGCAGGTTAACTCATCGTGTCCAGACATGCTGTTGGTGCTTCACAGCCGGTGGACGGCAGACAGACGTGACAGCCAGCCTGATTCTGACAGCTTCTCTGAGAGGATTGTCGAGGACGGCTTGTCTCCCTGACTCTTATTTATTTCTCTATTTGTTTGTGCTCCGCGGCGCCGTGGAGACCCCCTCAAACACTGTTTTTTTTCTATTTTATTTACTCTGCAGCAGGCCACGACTCTCTTTCAAGTCTCTATTTAATTTAGAGCGAAGAGGAAAAACAAAGGAGGAGCAGAGGAAGGGTCTGGCTGACGGAGGGACGGGAAGGAGAGTGGTTTTAGTACGAAATGCAGAATTCGCAGATATCCTCAGGTCAGAAACGACTGTTTTGGCAGGAAGCTCTGCTGATTATTGCAGCGTCTTTATTCATTTTTTAATTTATTTATTTTTTCCTCTCAGCACCTCTGGAGTTTAAAAACTTGCTCAGTAGCTGCAAACACGAGCTGCTTTTTGTCTTTAAAATATTCTGCCGCGTGTTTTATTCATCACCGCTCTGTTTGCATGATTTGTGCTGAGACACAAAGCCGGAGTGCATCTTCTTTTTGATTTGCGGGTGTGTGCGTGAAGCGTTGTTCGTATAGATTATGGAAAGCATGCGTGCATGTATAAGCGTGTCCGTGGCTCTGCAGCGGCGTGATCGGTGGGATTAATGGCGGCAATATGACATAAAACCACAACAAATTCTGTCTGTGTGCCGAGTTCATCCCCGTCTGCTCCTTATTCCGGAAGGTAAATGTCAAACACGTCTGTTTTCGACGCTGCGTTTTGTTTTTTTATCGATACTTTAGCGAAACGTTCAGGCGTCGCTGTGATATTTGGACGTTTCCTCACAGAGCTGCGTTGTTTCGTGAGCACAAAGTGAAACCGAAAGTGAAATGCAAACAGCACAGAATTCTGCATTCTGCTCAAAGCAAACTGTTCTAACATGTAATATCTGAGTCTAACTATCTAGAATTACAACTACAGATCTCAACAATGTCCGATTTTAACTGTGACTTCACTGTAAAGTGAATTCTGTGAAAACCTGGCAGCAAGTTCGCCAGAAAAATGTTCAAAACACGAGAAGAAATTCAGTCATCCCTGTCTGCTCCTTATTCAGGAAGGTAAATGTCAAACACGTCCTTTTTTTCATCGCTGCATTTTGTTTTTATCGACACGCTCATTGTGCCAGTTTAGCAAAACGATTTAGAGAAGATTTACTTTGACATTTCAACGTTTCCTCACAGAGCTGCTTTGTTTCCATTCATGAAAATGTGCATAGAATACACAAAAAAACACTGAGTTCTGCATAAGGCAGGCTGTTCTAACATATAAATCTGGGTTTGACTACATCTACAGATATCAGGGTCAGAGTTTAACTGTAGCTTCACTGTAAATAAAAATTTGCAAAAATCTGGCAGCAAGTACACAGCAAAAGTTACAGAAAGACAGTTAATTACACTCCTAAAGTCATATCAAGACAGCAAACTACATAAGCTTAAGTCATTTAAAGGATGGCTAACAATGCTAAAGTTGTGAAAAAAAAACAGCTAACTACAAGCTAAAGTTTTAAAAAGGATGGCTAACAATGCTGAAGTTACAAAAAAAGCTAAATACAAGCTAAAGTCATTTAAAGGATGCTAGCAATGCTAAAGTCATGTAAAAGACAGCTAACTACAAGCTAAGGTCTTAAAAAGAATGGCTGACAATGCTAAAGTGATACAAAAGACAGCTAAGTACAAGCTCAAGTCATAAAAAGACAGCTAACTACACACTTAAAGACAATGAACGCTAATTGCTCTGCTAAAGTCACAAAAAGGATGGCTAACAATGCTAAACTCATAAAATGACAGCTAACAACACTGCTAAAGTCATAAAAAAGGATTGCTAACAATGCTAAAGTCATGTAAAAGACAGCTAACTACAAGCTAAGGTCTTAAAAAGAATGGCTGACAATGCTAAAGTCATACAAAAGATAGCTAAGTACAAGCTCAAGTCATAAAAAGACAGCTAACTACACAATTAAAGAAAGACAATGAACGCTAATTGCTCTGCTAAAGTCATAAAAAAGGATGGCTAACAATGCTAAACTCATAAAATGACAGCTAACAACACAGCTAAAGTCATAAAAAAGGATTGCTAACAATGCTGAAATCATAAAAAGACAACAAACTACACAGTTAAAGTCATAAAAATAACGTTTAACAATGCTAAAGTCATAAAATGACAGCTAATTACAAGCCAAAGACATAGGAAGACAGCTAATTACACAGCTAAAGTCATAAAAAGGGTGGCAAACAAAGCTAAAGTCATAAAAAGAAATACTAACTATACCAAAGTCATAAAAAAAAAAAGGCCGCTAATTATACAGCTCAAGTCATAAGAACGATTGCTAACAATGCAAAAGTCACAAAATAGAAAGCTAACTACAAGCTAAAGTCATAGAAATTATGGCTAACATGGAAGTCAGTGGAATGCAGGAATGTTATAAACACTAGAACACATTTTGTCTTTGTTCATCCCCGTCTGCTCCTGATCCAGGAAGCTAAATGTCAAACGCGTCTGTTTTCATCGCGGCGTTTTGTTTTAATCGACACGCTCGCTTTCCCACTTTAGCAAAACATTAAAGATTTACTGTGACATTTGAACGTTTCCTCGCAGATGTTCCCACTCGGCCTTCTTTTTTCTGGTGCACAGAGTGAAACCGAGTGGCTGGAACCCCAGAGAACACCTGCTGAGCCACAGCTGCCTCGTGCAGGCCCCGCAGCAGACACGCCGATTAGCCGGAGATGCTGCCGGATTAGATAAGATAGCGCTTCATTGTGCGTTCACGTGGAAATTCGTCCTGCACCTCACGCTCCGACAATCACCAGAATGATACCGGAGCATGAAAGGACCTCTGCAGAATGGTGTGTCTGGGTGACGGCGGTGGGGGGTCCGTCACCTTTTTACACTTCTCTGTTGATTCGAGGCTCTTAGGGAGTAAATAAAGCGAAGATTCCTGCCTCTTGTTTGGCGGCGCTGCTCTGCGGGAGCAAACCTCTTATCGGCTCCTTTCAGCCGTCCTGCTGCCATTATTCCCAGTGCATCAAAACGGCAACAAATAGCAGCGGCTGGATGGAACTCCGGTTCTGTAAGAACGCAGGAAACAGAACAACTTGAAATGGTGCTGCTGCATGAACGGCTTCCTCAAACAGAAGGAGCTCATCGGCGTAGAGTTTGTGGAGACGAGCTGCTCGCTGCCACGCTGGATTTCCAAAGCTGGTTTCTTCTACTCGATGATGACAGGATGGATTTTTATTTGTTAATTTAAGTTGCAAACATGAGTTTTGTTGCCATATCAATGCTAGTAATTGCATCAACTCAATATTGTTTGTAATATAAACTCATATTTCTTCATTAGTTGACCTAAATTAAGTTTTTGAAGTTTTTTTAATTATTTTTTTCACACTATAAACTTTACACATACACTTTAAAACCCATTTTAATTGTAGTTAATGTACAAATTTTCCCCGTTTCGTTAAATTAGAGGGGAAAAAGTACTAAAAAAGTATTAATTTACATTAGTGTTCTTGTAATTATTGGCAAACAAATAAATAAAAATATACAAAAAAATAAAAAATAAAAAATCAGGCCAAAAAAAAGAAGAAACAATAATAATAATAATCATGAATCTATATTTTTGCAAATAGTAATTTGTTCTCATACAACATTCAGCACTAAAACTACACTATTATTAATGTAG